TGTCAGACTAATCTAATATCCTGTGATAAGACTACTGACTTCTTGGGTAAGGACAGTACAGCGAACATCAATCACCTCCCCAAGAAGGCCATACGTGCAAATATTGATGTCCTCAGCCAGTACACTAACAACCCACACCATGAAACATGGCTGCCTTCCCAAAGTCCCTACAAGAATATGGTGCAACACTGCACAAATAATCCACTTCGTCCTCACCCACAACAGCTTCACTTTCAATGATCGAAACTTCCTCCACCCCATAGGCACAACTATGGGCACAAAAGTGCTCACCCCAACATGACAACTTCTTCACAGCCACCTGGAGGAGAAACTTCTAGAAAACTGCACCATCAAACCTGCATTCAACTTGCATTATATATTTTCATTACTGGGACTGAACACTTGGATTCACTTATTGGACTTACATTAAAGATCTCACAAGTATCACCCCTTGATCAAACTTTCTCTCGAATACTCCCTACACTAACATCAACTTCCTAGACACCATAATCCATATCAGGGATAGCATCCTACAAAACCGCCATATACAAAAAAAAGAAAAAGGACCACTATACTTAGGTTCACATGAGCAGCAATCATCTCAAACATAGCAAAAAAGCCATAAATCTTCAGTCAAACAATTAGCAGAACCTCAGAATTAGCAGTACCTTAGTGGCCCTTGATACTAATACATCTGCTCTAAGAACACTTATGATGCCTACATGGCTATATGACTGCAGTCTATACTTGACAAAGCTAAGACCTTGAGAGAAATATTCCCAATTGCTCCAATCCTGGCTTTCAAACTACTTCCTAGCCTTACCCAAGCCTTACTCCTCATCAGAACCAAACCCCCCACTGCTCAGCAGACATCACATGGGACACAGCCTTGCCTTAATAATGCATTCTTAACCTGTCAACGCATCTCCAATGCTACTGCAATAAAAACTCCCCCCCACCTCGCCCCACAAGCCATAGTAAACCCATCAGAATCAATGGATCCTACACATGCCTTTCCCCAAATGTGATCTAATGCACCAAATACTCACACGGCAACTACATGGGTGAAACTAAACAGCAACTATGTACCAGATTGAACTCCCACAGAAAAAATATAAAGGACAGAGACATACATACTTCAGTAGCAGCACATTTTTTTTTTTTAACAGAACAACCACTCCCTCCCTTTCAGACTGCACTATCCTTAGGCTCAAGGGAAATCTAACTAACATCTTTAAATTGTGAGCTTGGGAACAAAAATTCATAAGCTGGATGGATACTAGGAAACAAGGACTGACACCAATATTGATTTTATGATATACTACGATCTACCTGATTCCTGAAATTCTTCCTACACACTATAGGTGATCATAAAACTCTCTTTTAATAGATCTTGATCTCCTAGTAATCGAGCTTCTTTTGTTCTGCTAATTGTTTGTCTGCTACCTCTGGAAATTGCTCCTCTGCAATTTCACAGCTCTACCCAGAGTTCTTCAATTCCTATACTTACTTTCCTCAGAAGACATGATGAAGAATGCCTTGCATTTGAAGGCTTATCTAACTTTATCCCAACCATGCAGTTGGTCCAATAAAAGGTATCACTGAAAAAACATCCTTGCATCCTTGACACTGTGGCCTCATGGGGAATTATTAACCAAACTGGAGAGGACAGGGATCAATAATACAATGATGAGACAGATGAAGAGATTTCTCAAAGGGAGATTATAATGGGTTATGTTGAATTGTGAGTTTGATCAGATGAGAGAGCAGTTACCAGCAGTGTTCTTCAGGGATCAGTCTTTGGGAACTATCATGTTAAACATTTCTGTTACCAACCTGGACGTTAACGTAAGGGGTATTGCCAAGTTGAGAAGAACTATATATCAGGAAGCTTATGTAAATTTTGTGGAGTATCTGAAGTTGTCTGAAGTGCAAAGTCATGCTCTTAGAGAACAACAACAAGGACTGGCTCTAAAATGGACTCAATAGCAGGTCCCTTCCTATGTTCCTAGCTAATTCCACTTCATGATAACATTTTCCTTATTTGTCAGATAAATGTGCCAGAAGGAATCCCTTGTGGCCTAAGTCTGCTCCCACACTTGAAAGGTTTGTGTATACATATCGTACAATTTTACCATTTCTTCACAGAAAATTTGATGGCCCACTCTTTTTCATCAGACTATTGACTAAATATATTGCACTTCAACTCTGAAGATTTCATAAACATTAGAGCTGTAAGGGACCTCGGAAGAATTAGTTATAGCCTGAAATACCCACTCCCACAAGTTTTAACAGGTTATTTTGTACTACACATCCAGAGTATTCAAGGAAAAGACATACTTCTTTACTGCCATACCCTCACTGAACCACCCAGAATACAATTTTTAAGGATAAAGTAAACCTATTTGAGAATAGGATTTGGGCCAGGTACCAAGCAAGACTAGTCCTAAGGTTTCCCAGACCAACAACAAATGAATTCAAGTTGAAAACTCCCTTCACAAAGGTCCAAGTATCTTTTTCATCTTTTATGATTTACAGCTTGCATGCTATGCTACCCCTCTGGCAGAATTTTTTTATCCTTTCTTTCCCCAAAGATGGAAGATGGAGGAGGAGGAAGGAAGGGAAGGTGCACTTATCCCAAAGTCCTGAAAATGGGTATATGGTACCCCTGCGAAAATCAAGACAACCTGAAAAGTGTCCTGGCTAAAGCAGAGCTGGTGTAGCAACAAAGGAATAAGATATTTTGTTATAATATTTTATTAAGAGAATCTGATGGACGGTTTTGTCAAAAGCTGCAACAGATATCCATGAACTGATGGGCATCACTGATCTAGAAGGAGAAATTAAAGGCTTCCAATGTCAGTCAGAAAAGCCCATAAACAGAGGTACCTGGTTGAAGAGTGCTTGAGGGAAGTCATGGAAAAAAATGAACAGCTGCAGGTCACAAAGTTTCCAAATCAGTGTGACAAAAGCCAGTCCATAAAATCACACAAGATTGATTCATATGATAGTGCAGATAAAGTAACAGCAATATCATGAGAACTAATATTTTTCTGACACTTCAAAGATTTAGCAATAAACTAAATAATAATCCCACGGCTACAAAAATCTAGTACGTACAGTGTTACTATATAGTCCATAATGTTATTAAATGCTTTAACTTCTATTTCCCTTATTTTTATTTCTTTAAATTAGATGGTGCTGTTTTAAGCAGACAAAGGGACAGTGATCATTAAAGCTGACTACTTCAATATGCCTAAATATTGCAACAAAATGATTTCATAGTCCTTGAAAATGGCACCCTACCAAAATCATATGTGCTGCCCTTTGTTATGGTGCATCTGTAATGAGACTGCACAAAATCCCAGATGCAGTAAAATAAAACAAAAGCAGCCTTCATTTTTCTCAGTTTATATTGATAATTCAGTTTATGGGCGTGTGTAGACAAAATGGAGGCCCTAAAATGAAGCAGTGGGTTTTTAAAAACATTCCTTCAATTTAGGGCTGATTGAACGCCCCCGTGTTGTACACACACCCACTTCCCTGCCTCTCCGGTGGCAGGGAGGGGAGGGGTGTGAGAGCTGCTGGTGGGCAGAGCAGTCCCTGGGCTGTGGAGGGTGTGGTGCTTACCTCTGCAGCAGTGGCAGCGCCCCGAGAGGAGGCCCCCAGCTTGGGTGGTCCTGGGGGGCATTGCAGCCACGGAGGGAAGCATTGGGTCCCCACACAGCTCAGACAGGCAGGCAGGCTCCAGAGGGGAGGAAGGAGGAGAGGATCAGGCTCACCGCTGCTCTTGAGCGGAGTCTGCCCAAGCTGCTGCCAGGCTGCCTGCAGAGCCACGGAGCTGCACGGAGCCTGGTGCTTCATCCATGACTGTAGGGGCAGCAAACTAAAACTCCTTAGAGGAGTTTTAGTTTGCTGCGCCCCAAGTCATTTAAGGAGCATTACGCCACCAAATTTCCTACAGTGGATGGAATTAATGCACAATACGCTGCTGAGGCATGCAAACACTGACACCACTGAAGCAGTGCAAAAGCACTTAGCCCGCTTTAAAGTGCCATGCACACAAGACCCTCGTTTCGTCTACACACGGCCTACGTATCTGAAAGATTTTGCACAATTTTGCCTTTGTATTTAATATGTATTACTACTCTCCAATGCACCATAGGAAAGCATATACTCAAATCAAGTGGCAGGTTTCAATAAAAGCTTACCAGAGCAAAAGTTACCTTGTACATGTTTGCATTTATTATTACATAGAAAACAAAAAGTTAGCCTAAATACAAGTAATGCCTTAGCTCTACTCCTGTAACAGATGCCAAGATTTTATGGATCATATTTTGCAAATAGTATAACAAATTTTCCCCAGAATGTTATATTTAAATATGGGGCAAATACTAATACTATACAAGTAAGGGATTAAAATTCTCTTATTTTTAAGTAGCTTCCAGGACTGTGTACATTAAAAATGTTTAAGGGAAATCAGTAATATATTTCCACTTGGACAGCAGCAGTTTTTCTTCTACTGAGTATTTGTTGGATGTAAAATAATTTGCTGCTATGTAAATAATTTAGCAAAACATGCCTCTTTATGTCAGTGAAGGTTTCAACTGAGTAAACTAAGTAAAAGGGTGATGGACAATTAAAATTGAATGGTGTTACCAAATATAAGTTGCAAGTGTGCTAACTATTGAGATATACCAACTTCTGTTCAGCATACAATTAAACCAGGCCAATGACTAAACCCCTGTAAGCTAATTAACAAAGCTGTACAGCAAATCTTACTACTGTAATAACTTCTCTGCTCAGAGCAGCAGGCTGCAGAATATAACCAGCATGACCAAGGATTGTTTTAAAACCAATTACAAACATACTGCTAGATATTAGAGACCACAGTTAGCTTGTAAAGAAAGCAAACTGCTGACCAGGCAGCAAAAGATAATGGCTTTAAATAAACTCATATTTGATCACATTCTTTTAAAGGCAAACATTCTATTCTGTACCTGGCTGATATGTACAGCAGAAACCTGGGCAGAACACACAGATGAGTGACTTGGAGAGTTTGGTAAAGATTTGCAGGGTCCTATTGAAAGCTGTTGTTTCTTCCTTGTTGCTACAATCTTCTGGGCAACTGAAAAATAAGAGATATGCATGTAAATGGAGATGTACAGACTTCAAACTATCACAGTTCTAAAGTATACAGAACATAGGCAAGACATAGGAAAGAGTCTCAGCTACCAAAACTTGACTCCTAAATTTTAAGTTTTATTTCACAAAAACCTAAGGTGGTTGATATGATAATTTTGCTTTTCTGTGTTGTGCTCACCACTATATTATATATATTCATTTGGATTTATTTCAGCCAACGGTCATTTAAAAGTCAGCCTCCCAGAAGTAACACGTTTACATTAGAAATTCTTACCCATTACTGACAATATTCAGTACTTCAACAGTACCTGTACCAATGAAAACATCAGTGTAAAAATGGTGCTTTGAGCTAGGATAAGGAGGTGACCCATGGGTGCAATACTACTCAATGGCCATGGATTTTTTTTTTATGCAACTCAAAAGAGAAAATTCTGGAGAAATGCTGAAAAATTATGAAAACTCAAATGCAAAAGATGCTTAATACATAAACGTTAACATGTATGTAGTACACGCAGGACCTATTTGTTCGGCTAGTTCTAAAATGGGACTGTCACATGAGAAAGTTTGTCTTGTTAGTACTCTAACCTTTTCTTATTTATTTTGTACAGGGAATATTTTGTTTGAAGGTAGAAAGTGAAGAATAAATGGTTATACTATATAGCTTTCAATATTTTTCCATAATAATCTGGGGTTGTTATGATCGGGGATCCAGGTTTTCTCTTTGCAGAGTGCTGCAGGTGCAGGCACAACCTGGATCCAGTCATCTGGTGGGCTGGATCTGGCCTGTAGGCTGTAGTTTGTCCACCCTTGCTCTAAGGCCAGATACAGACATTACACTTTTATCAGTATAAGTAATCAGAAACTGGTCTATACCTGTAATAGAACAGGAGTATGACACATGTAGACTAGTTTAAGAATGGTGGAGCCTGGTCTAATATTTGCACCCCCGCCCCTCCCACCAAAGGACAAAAGTGTGTTCTGTTCACTACCAATCTAAACTATGCCACTTACAGAAAACTGCGTAAGTTAGATTGATTCCGCTTTGGGCTTTTTGAATGTCTGTTCCTAGCCCAAGAGAACTGGGGGGCAGAAAAAGAGCAGTCCTAAGGAGGACAGAGTGGAGTCCAAGGAAGGACAGAGGGAATGGCAGTGGCACACAATACAGAATATGAACTGCCATTTGGGATTTTGGCACTCTGACCCTACCCCTCCCACTGCCCCTAAAGAAAACACCTCTTTCCAGGAGTTGACCAAATGAGGGGTTCTTGGAGGCAGGGATCCTACGTATGGCTGGAAGCTAGGGACTAAGAAAAGCTAGGTTCTCAAAGTCAAAGGCTTGCCTTTCATGAAACCATGCCAGGGCTGACTTCCAGGGGTCCTCTCAGAAGAGGGGGACTGACTAAGGCTATTTCTTAGGGGATCCTGAGGTAGAGATTTCCCCCAAAAGAGACATGATCCATGACAGTTGTGAAAAGAGGTAAATATATAGCTTGTATAGGACAGCAAGGAAAGAATGGCATGAGGTTCACCTCAAATGAAGTGAACACAATATATAAATGATTCTTTTTTGCTTCTGTTAGAGACTTAGTAAATAATTGGAAACCTCTTTATGCTTCTAGCATAAGAAAATCCAGTGACACAATGGGAGGAAGCCATGCTTGTGGGTCTCAAAACTTTCTGCCTCAAATCATAGCAATGCTGAACTCTACCCCTCCTCTACAAGCTGCAATGGTTAAGTATTTTTGTGACAATTATATTCACAGTGTATGTAAAAAGGGGATGCAAGCATCTATTTTAATATTTTATATTTATATTTAATATTTTGGCTCCCTTTATTTTTTACCTATCTGTTTAGCTTCTCTTAGCATTAATCCAAAAAAAGTAAAAAGACCAACTGCAGTACCCTAATTTACAAAGATGATGAATATGGGCATTTCCTATACACTACAGCAAAGTGTATAGATATTTCTCACTTGCAAAAAATGAGGATTCTTAAACCATCTCAGTTAAGCCACTACCAGTGGCTAGAAACCAAAATTTAGAACACCACCTCCTTCTCTCCCCCTAACACACACAGATGCACTCTTTCTCATAGGAAATCAGCATAAACTACTGGACAGGTTTAGTAAGAGGGAATGTTTTTTCATGAGGTTGGACAAGTATGTATTTACTTTTATGGAATATGATATTTCTTTCACTGTTAAACATCCATCATTTAACTTTCCAGAAATACCACTGTACTATAATAACGTCTTCTGTTGGATGCTTTCCTTACATGTAGCAGTTTATTTGTAATCCTTTTCTAAGGGCATTTCAAAAGCACTCATTCAAGTGCTGTCCCATAATAGAAAACTAAGTCATCCTTCATTAAGAATATCACTATAACAGGGTCCTCGCTCCATGCATGGCTGTCCTGGCCCTAGAGTACCCTCTTAGCCCTCAGCCTCACTGCTCTTAGACAAAACTCCCCTTCTCTCACCTGCCATGCCTTGTTGGCAATTAATCTTCAGAAAATGGGAAGCTGCCCCAGGGCTTCCCAAGCTTGACCTTGCCTTAAGGGCTAATTGCGTGGCTCTATCCATCCCTAGATCATGCCCCAAGCCTCACAGGTACCATCACTCACAACTGTTAATTCAATTGGCCTGTTTCTCCCAGGCACTTTGCCTCTCTCTCAGCTACTCCCAAGTGTAGCCTTCCTACCTGGAGTCACACACTCTGTCCCTCTCAGGCTTTGGGCCCCCAGCCCCTACCTGAGCACCTTGTGGATTCTCAGACCCTCTGGTCCCACTCGTAGCCCTTCTCTGGGCTCCCAGACCCTCTAGTCCCTTCCCCAAACCTCCAGACTGCCACAGGCTGTACTCTCCACATTAGCATTCAGGAGCTACAGCCATCTGGCCTAGACAATGTTTCCTCAGTGGCCTCCAGGGCCCTACTTCCCACCCAGCTCAGGGCCTCGGTTTATATCGGGGTGGGCAATTAGTTCAGTTGGAGGGCCATTTAATGAGGTTTGGTGACCCGTTGAGGGCTGCAATGGTAACCCCACCCCCAATCACCATCTTGGGACCAGAAGTCCTGCCTCTAACCCTTGACCTTTCCCCACCTCCTCTTGCCCGAGAAGTACTCCTTTCTTTTCGGGGGGGGTCCTGGAACTGTAAGAAAACCAAATCATATACTAAGAAAATTAACCATCTACTATAACATACTTTAATTTTATTTTTTTTAAATTGTCCCGATTTATGTTTGCTTTCATAATGTATACAGAGGCAACTGCATAATAGCTCAAAATACAGTCTTACTCATATATACTGTGTATGGTGGGGGGTAAGGGGACGTACATGTGTGGTTGGGGAGAGTGTGTGTGTGTGTGTGGTGGGGTGTGTGTGTGGGGTGTGGATATGGTGGGTGGGGTCTGCAGGGAAAGGGTGGGGGGTATAGGGGTGGATCCAGGGGTTGTGGAGGTGAGGTGTGTGGGAGGGTGTGGGTATAGTGGGGGTGGGGTGTGTGCGGGGGTATGGTGGGGGATGCGATGCATGGGAGGGTGTGTGTGT